ACAGAGTTCTCCAGGATCAATGCCCTCCCTACTACCACCTCTATTGGTTTTTGTGGGAAACTATTATGCCAGCTGGAATAAAATGTAACATAATTTGCATTTCTGTCATCCCAAGTTTTTTGTTTCCTATTACATGGTTTAGGCATTTAGGCAACGCCGACCTGAGGACCTACCCGACAACGTTCTAGTTGCCCAGTTGTTAGAGAACGAGGACGCACCCCCCTGCAAGAAGCTCAAGATTGAGGACCCAGAGCTAGAGCAGCTTCAGCGGGGAGCGGATGCGGGACGGAAGATGGTGGAGATGCTGCGGCTGGTGGTTCCTCAGGCGGTCGAGTCCCTCAACCGCCAGCTGGAGTCGTCGGTCGCCCAGCTTAGCCAAGTGGAGGAGGCCCTGGAGAGGCGGGTGCAGCGGGAGGCGGCCGGCGATGTGGGCACCACGTCAGACGCCGTTGAGCCGCTGCAGCTGGCGCGGCAGCTGGAGGCCAACCACCGCCTGATAACCTCCGCCAAGTGCACTGTCGCTGCCGAAGAGGAGGGTGGCTCTGCCTGGACGGCCTCTGTGGAGCCCGGCGGGAGCGGCGACATCCTGCGCCTGCTGATGCTGCAGCTTCGGGCGGACGGCCAGCTGCACTTGGAAAATGTGAGTGACCAAGCAGGTGAACAGTCTCATGTTGGTGCTGACGAGGTGCTCATCCACCGTTCTTCTCTCCAGGTTGACGACGCCGTCACCGTCCCCGTCATCCGTGCTCCGACCCACGTGGGGCCGCCTCTGATCGAAGTCCTCTCGATAACTGATAAACACCTCGACAGCAGACGTTTAAAGGTGGATGATATTCTGGGAGCAGTCCAGAGGCTATGGACCGTTCCTCGCAGCCTCAGGAACTTACATGGCGATGGCTGTGAGGACCTGCTGCGCGTCATGGGGCCACACCTCGAGGAGCTGGAGACGTCGGGTGAAGTTCAGCCCAGCGTCATGGAGGAGGTGCTGAAGATGTCGGGACTCAGAAGACTTAAAGTGAGCTATGCTAAGAATGTGGACTTCCCGGACCTACCGTTACATTTGGAAGAGCTCAGTGTATTTTATATAACCGAGAATCAGTTGCGGTGTGTGGAGCATATGCCCAGACTGCGCAGCCTGGTGGTAAACAATTACCTTGGTCCAAATCTGACCTTCCCTCCCTCAAAGCATAACAGTCTACGGTGGCTGGGCGTGTGCTTCAATGCTGAGCACAAGTCTTCCATGCTGTCCCTGATTCGCGCCCATGCGTCATCAGTACAGGAGCTCCGAGTGTACTGCACTTTACCTACTGAAGACAAGGGCTTCTACTTCCCCGACTTGGGCCAGGAGCTGGCGGACTGCGACTTACGCGCCTTGCGGCGGCTCGTCCTTGTCCGCAACAAAAAGACCTGCCAGGCGGCGGCCTGCGTGGTGCAGCGACGGGACGTTCGAAGCTGCTTGCTCCCTTCTGTTGACGTGGTCTGTGGGAAGTGTCAGACACTGCAATTCTAGGAGAATGGGCCCATTGTGTCCTCAGCATGCTTTTCGTGCAGTAATGATGGTGCTTAACGAAAACTCTCTTAAATCCTAAACGAATGTCTGACATAAGCAATTCATAGTTTAATTTTGTTGTTTTAAGTCGTTTGAATTGTCCAACTTGTAAATATACCTTATTCATTCAGCTGCATTTTAAAGCGTTATTTATTTGTCTGTCTGTTTACGTAGCAGCAACCAAGCAAAAAACATAACAGTAAACATACGTCAATTAGACTAAGAAAAGGGAGAGCCATGGCTATGCATTAATGCATAGCGCGGCGTTGGTTAGGCGGCCACCCTAAACGGCAGGGCGCAGCAGGGCGAGCCGGGCTTGCGGGACTTCCTGACAGGCGCTCACGCCGGGCTCTCGTAGAGCACTTCGGTTCTTATTGTACGTACCACTTGGCAGCGGCTCAGCACCTTATCTGGCATGCGACCTCCAACAGTTCGGGCTTAACTGGTTTATTTGGAACGTACTACTGGATGGCTTGTCCAGAGTGTGAGGGGCCGCGGGGCTCGTAGCACCCCACCTGCCAAGAACATCCCCAGATTCTTAGTTAGGTTCCGTGCTGAACGTTCCGCGACCATTCTTAGAACGATTCGTGCTACCAGGGAGGGTCGAACACAACTTACACCCCGCGGCAGGGCCGGCGGGCCGGCGCGTCGGCCTCCATGCCGGGGTAGCGAGCGCCCGGCGGCGGCGGGTAGGCCACCGCACGGGCAGCGGGGCGCGGCGGGCCGGCCTGCCTCGCGGGGGCTCGGAGCGGGCGGCTCGTAGTAACAGACCGTCCGCCGGGGGATGTGACATGCCTCCCCCGCCCCGTCGCCAATAGGAGACAAACAAGCACGCCGACCACGTCGCACACATTGTGCTGTCGGCTGTCGGTAGAACGGGCACCGGCAGGGAGCATAACTCTCTCGTCGAGCTCGACACCGACCTACCCATGGTGAATACAGCAGAACGCCCTCACGGAAGCCCCTGTAGGTGCCGACCTGTCGCACACGTACTAACTGACCGTCTCCCAGAAGGGCGATCGGAGAGCTCCATGAAAATAACCGGAAACACCCGATAAAACACCTGATACAGGGTGAGGGTAATGGTCGGTAAGATCGGAATAAAAGGGGAGCTCTCCGATCGCTCTCCAGCCGCACTGCCCGCTGACAGGGTGTTCAAGCCTCGCGCGCTCTGCACTCCGCCTTGCGCTAGCGCCGGGTACAGACAGCCAATCGCGAGCAGCAGTTCGCAGTTCGCTTGCTAAGTCCGAACAAGAAGCAACGCGGGTAGATTCACTGCATCCAAATATAACCTCACTCCCAGTCCGAGAACTTATTACTTGTGCAACTTTCAAGTGTGTTTGCTGACGTACTACGTATTTTTTGAATAGTAAGTTAGAATGATCCAGCCAGCATACAGCCTCGCGTGGTGGTTGGTGATGTATTTTAAGTAGTTCGACCATAATTTCAAGATCCTCAATCTATTCATCCTCAAGGAACAGTTCACATTCATAAACTCAGCCATTCAAAGTGTGACACAATTTGTTTTCTTTGTATTGTAGATGGATTTGAAGTGTGACATCTGCTTCCTAAATTTTGACCTAGACGCCCACCGTCCCAAAAACTTGCCCTGTGGACACACAATTTGCCAAGCATGTGTTGAAAATCCTGCCTTGGGGAAGAAGTGCCCAACTTGCAGGAAGGTCAGTAGTTAAAAAGGTTTTGATTGTGGTCATAAGTATTAACCATTTTCATTTCTTTGGTTCAAAATTCTTGGGGGTATTTTCTAGCGGGTAAAATTTAGTTGGTATCAACTATCAAAGTAGTGCTTGCTCGTTCACCAAGCGCAGGATTCACTGCTCTACATGAAGTTAACCAGTACTTTATTGGTTAACCCATTTCACTGTCTGCCAGTACTAGCTAAGTACTGTGTTTTGAGTATGGAGTACAGGATCATTTAACATGGAGCGTCATGTAGGATCTGGGAACTACAGTACACACATATGTGCATCCTGTACCACATTCTGTTACGGGAGTGGCTGTACTTTTTCAGTTCTTTGACTAAGGATTTTACACAGTGTTCAACTTCTGTCAAAGAGAAGTTTAAATTCATTTGAAAGCTAATTCTAAAAGTTAAAGTCAAATACATAAAACTTAACAGCTATACATCGGATTTAGTAGAAACCCATTATACAAGTTGCAACAAATTACGTAAAATTGTTGCTTTTCTGTTACCCCCAGTTTATCGAATTATGTTTCTAATTACCATGTTCAGGCATTTAAGATACGACGACTTGAGGACCTCCCCGACAGCTTTGTGGTGATTCGGCTGTTGGAAGCCGAGGACGCACCACCCTGCAAGAAGCCGAAGCTCGAGGACCCTGAGCTGGAGCAGCTAAAGCGGGGAGCGGATGCGGGGCGGAAGATGGTGGAGATGCTGCGGCTGGTGGTTCCTCAGGCGGTCGAGTCTCTTAGCCGCCAGCTAGAGTCGTCGGTCGCCCAGCTCAGCCAAGTGGAGCAGGCCCTGGAGAGGCGGGTGCAGCGGGAGGCGGCCGGCGATGTGGGCACCACGTCGGACGCCGTGGAGGAGCCGCTGCAGCTGGCGCGGCAGCTGGAGGCCAGCCACCGCCTGCTCACCTCCGTCAAGTGCACCGTCACTGCCGAAGAGGAGGGTGGCTCCGCCTGGACGGCCTCTGTGGAGCCCGGCGGGTGCGGCGACATCCTGCGCCTTCTGCTGCTGCAGCTGCGGAAGGACGGCCAGCTGGGAAAGGTGAGTCGCCAAGCTGGTGAAGAGTGCTCATGTTGGTGTTCATCCACTGTCTATCTCTCCAGGTTGACGATGCCCACGCCGTTCCTGACGGCACTGCTGCGCCTTATGTGGGGCCGCCTCTCGTCTGTACACTTAAGATAACTGACAAACACCTCGACAATGGTCGTCTAAAAGTGGCTGACATTCTTCGGGACGTCCTGCATCGATGGGCCATTCCTCGCAGGCTGAAGAACTTACATGGCGAAGGCTCTGAGGACCTGCTGCAGGTCATGGGGCCACACCTCGAGGAGCTGGAGTTCCCGTACAATTGGGAGGCTCAGCCCAGCGTCATGGAGGAGGTGGAGAAGATGTCGGGACTCAAAAGACTAGATGTTAAATGCGTTCAGGATGTTGACCACCCGGACCTACCGTTGCTGTTGGAAGAGCTCACTGTGTATCACATGACCGAGAATCAGCTGCGCTGTGTTGAACGCATGCCCAGGCTGCGCAGCTTGCAGGTGTTAAATTACCTCGGTCCTAATCTGACTTTCCCACCATCGCAACATGGCAGGCTGCTTTAGCTTCACGTGACCCTTAATGCTGACCACAAGCCTACCATGCTCTCCCTGATTCGCGCCCATGCCACATCTCTGCAGGAGCTACGTGTATGCTGTTCCTTCTCTCCCGATGACAAGGGCTTCTACTTCCCCGACCTGGCCCAGGAGCTGGCGGCTTGCGGCCTGCTCGCCCTGCGCCGGCTTGTCCTTGAACGTCCAGTGAAATATCCTTGCACAGGCCAATCTGCTGGCTGCGTGTTGCAGCGAAGAACTATTCGCAGCGTACTCCCATCGTCTGTCGACGTGGTTTGCAGGTCGTGTCACACACCGGGATTCTAGTTGAATGGCCATAATATGTCTTACGACGTATCAATGTAGCGTTACCTTTTTCTAGCCCGGAGCTAAACTCTGAAATGCTCTAAAAATTGTGTTTTTTTTCTTTTAAATTTTAATGTTCTTGTCTAGTTTAGTCAATTAAACTTCTGGTAGAAGTAAGTACTACAAATTTTGTCTTGTCGGCCGGATTTTTTATTTATAGTCACGCTTTCTATTTCTGTCACCCCAGCGAGCCGACGGAGGCAGACGTTGACGTGTCCAGTTCCACACCCACACCCCTCGGTCATACTGTGCACTGTCTGTTGTAAAACTTAATTAAGCAGGGTACATATTTTAAAAGTGTGTTTGTGGTTCTAATCTGTTTTAAGCTTTTAAATTTTGTTTGAGTCTAAGTGTCGTGAGGTGTAGTGTATTTCGACTAGAGGAGAAAGAAGGGTAGCAGGTAGAACTTAAACGTTGCCGATTTGGTCGAGAGCTTCCCGCCTCTACCACTCACCGGTAGTGGGGGTAAGCGCTCGGCCAATCAGGAGCCTTTATGTTCTACCCGCTATTCTTCTTCCTCCGTTAGTCGAAATACACTAAATATTCGTAGTCGTTCACGTTTCGAGATCGCGAACCACCAGGTTCACCTCCGACGTCATCAGCGTGAATTTTTCCTCTTTTCCTCCAACTCTCTTGAGATTTGCATGGCGGACCACAACAACATCCAGCCCGCCCCGCGCCTCAGAGGAGGAAGGTGTGCAGGTCGACGGTCGCGGGGTGGTGAGGCGCAGCGCGTAGAGAGCGTAGCGTAGCGTGGGGAGCAACTTTGGCGCCGGAGCGCGGGGGCGGGGCGGCGCGGGGCGGCTGCGCGGCCCTTGAGTA